GTTATTTCTGATTGATTCTTTATGTAGAATCATGTTGTCCACAAACAGTGAGAGTTTTACTTCTTCCTTTCCAATTTGGATACTTTTTATTTCTTTTTCTTGCCTAATTGCTCTGGCCAAAACTGCCAGTACTATGTTGAATAGGAGTGGCAAGAGTGGGCACCCTTGTCTTCTTCCTGTTCTTAGAGGGATGGCTTTCAGATTTTCACTGTTAAGTATGATGTTGGCTGTGGGTATGTCATGTATGGCCTTTATTATGCTGAAGTACTTTCCTTCTATACCCATTTTATTGACTTTTTATCATAAATGGATGTTAGATCTTGTCAAATGCTTTCTCTGCATCTTTTGAGATGATCATGTGATTTTTATTCCTCATTTTGTTCATGTGCTATATCACATTGATTGATTTGCAAATGTTGAACCATCCCTGCATCCCTGGTAGAAATCCCACTTGATCATGGTGTATGATCCTTTCATGTATTGCTGTATTCAATATGCCAATATTCTGTTAGGGATTTTTGCATCTATGTTCATCAGCAATATTGGCCTGTAATTTTCCCTCTTTGTGTTGTTCTTGTTGGGTTTTGGTATTACAGTGATGTTGGCCTCATAAAATGAGTTAGGAAGTGTTCCATCTTCTTCAATTTTTTGGAATAGTTTGAGAAGGATAGGTATTAAATCTCCTTTGAATGTTTGGTAGAATTCTCCAGAGAAGCCATCTGGTCCTGAACTTTTGTTTTTTGGGAGGTTTTTGATTACTGTTTCAATCTCTTTACTTGTGCTTGTTCTATTCAGATCCTCTATTTCTTCTTGATTCAGTTTTGGGAGGTTGTATGAGTCTAAGAATTTATCCATTTCTTCTAGATTATCCAATTTGTGGGTATATAGTTTTTCATAGTATTCTCTTATAATTCTTTGTATTTCAGTCATATCCATTATAATTTCTCCTCTTTCATTTTTAATTTTATTTATTTAAACTTCTCTCTCTCGGTGAGTCTGGCTAAGGGTTTGTCAATCTTGTTTATCTTCTCAATAACCAGCTTTTAGTTTCTTTTTTTTTTTTTTAAGATTTAAAAACATTTTTTTCCTTTTTCTCCCAAAGCCCCCTAGTACATAGTTGTGTATTTTTAATTGTGGGTCCTTCTAGTTGTGGCATGTGGGATGCCACCTCAGCATAGCCTGACGAGTGGTGCCATATCCGTGCCCAGGATTTGAACCAGCAAAACCTCGGGTTGCCAGAGCGGAGCTTGTGAACTTAACCACTTAGCCATGGGGCCAGCCCCCCAGCTTTTAGTTTCATTGATCCTTTCTATTGTCATTTTGGTCTCTATTTCATTTATTTCTGCTCTAATTTTTATTATTTCCCTCCTTCTGCTGACTTTGGGCTTTGTTTGTTCTTTTTCTAGTTCTGTTAGGTGTAGTTTAAGATTACTTATTTGCAATTTTTCTTGTTTGTTGAGGTAGGCCAGTATTGCTATAAATTTCCCTCTTAGCACTGCTTTTGCTGCATCCCATAAGAGTTGATATGTTCTGTTTTCATTTTCATTTGTCTCCAGGTATTTTTTTACGTGGAGACAATCTTGAAGGCAGCGAAAGACCTCATATAGTGAAACTCTATTAATTTCCTAAGGCTGCTGTAACAAATTAGCACAAATTTGGCATCTTAAAACAATAGAAACTGATTCTCTCACAGTTCAGGAGGCCCAAATTCCAAAATCAAGGTGTGGCAGAGTTGTTTCATTATGGTGGCTCTGAGGGAGAATCCATTGCTGGCCAGCTGACAATCCTTGGATTCCTTAGCTTGTATCCACATCACTCCACTTCTGCTTCTTTCACATTGTCTACTCTTCTGTGTGTCAGTATCTTCTTGTCTTCTTTCTGTCTCAAATATCCCTCTGCCTTTCTTTTATGAGGACATATTGTTGGGTTAGGGTCCACCCAGGTAATTCAGGATGATCTCCTCATCTCAATATTCTTAACTTAATTGCATCTGCAAAGACCCTTTTTCCAAATAAGCTAATGTTCACAGGTTCTGGAAATTAGGACATGGACATATCTTTTGGGGAGCTACCATTTAACTCACTACAAACCCCAATAAGATTAAAAGATTATAAATACCTTTGTATATATATTTCACAAAATTGTTTAAAAATTTAAAAAACATAAATATGTTTGTTATATGAATTATTACATTATGTGTCACTAGTATATGAAAAAATAGACCAATAGAATAGAATAGAAATTCCAGAAATAGACCAGATACCTAAAATAATTTAGTAAATGATGAGGCTGCTGTATCAAATCAGTAGGAAAAATAGGAACCATCAAAAGTGATGTTGGGACTATTGGGTCACCATCTTTTTTTAAAAAGTTGGATCCTTACCTCTACATCAGAATAAACTCTAAATTTATCAAAAATTTAAATATAAGAGAATGAAACCATAAACTGCTAGAAATAAACATGGAACAATGCCTTTATAATCTTGAAGGGGGACAAAGCTTTTTAAATATTAGTATTGAAAATCCAGAAACCATAAAAGAAAAGATTCATAAATTTAATTGCATTGAAAAAACTTCTGCATGGCAAAAAATCTGCACAAACACACAATATAGAAAAACATTTGCTACTTATATATAAATAGTCCCTAGAAGTCAAGAAGAAAAAGACTATAATCTCAAAAGAAAATGGACACAGAATTCAAACAGTTCAAAGGAAATAAAATGGAAAAGGCTCTTACATACATGTAATGATGCTCATTCTCATTTAGAATAAGAGAAATGCAAATAACACTTCACTGAGCTGTCATTTTTCATGTATCAGATTGGCATCAATTCAAACAAATCCACATTTTTTATATAAGCTGTTGGAAGATAGGTACTCTTATTCATTGCTGGTGGATGTGTTTGACAAAAATACCCATGGAAGGCAATATGGCAATATCTACCAAGATTATGCATATCCCCTTTGACCTGGCAATCCTACTTCCCACTGGCAATTTACCCTACAGATATACTTACACATGTGCAATATGATGGATGTACAAGATGACCTATTGCAGCATTGTTTGGAAATAGCAAATACTAGAAACAACATAAGTGTATCAAAAGGAGATTTGTTAAATATTTAAGGTACATCCATATAATGGAATACTAAGGAGCTAAAAGGAAGCTCTCTATATCCTGATATGAAAAGATCTCCAAGATACATTAAGAGGAAAAAAGCAAGATGCAGAGCAGTGGGAATAATAGACTACTTTTTGTATAAAAAAGGAAGGAAATTGAGAATAGACATTCATGTTTGCATAAAGAAACTCTGAAATGATATACCAGAAAAATTTTACAGAGGTTATCAGGGTGAAAACTGGGAATATGGGGGACAGAGAGAGGTTTTTACCATATATATATATAATATATAAAATATATGGTATGATAGATAATATATTGATTTTTGAAATTTGTGAATGTATAATCAATGCAACATTTTTTAAAAATTAAAAAATAAATGTAGAGGGCCAGCCTGGTGGTGTAGTGGTTAAGTTTGTGGGCTCTGCTTTGGTGGCCCAGGGTTCACAGGTTTGGATCCTGGGTGCAGAACTACACACCCCTCATCAAGCCATGCTGTGGCGGCATCCCACATACAAAATAGAAGAAGATTGGCACAGATGTTAGCTCAGTGACAATCTTCCTCAAGCAGAAAGAGGAAGATTGGCAACAGATGTTAGCTCAGGGCCAATCTTCCTCACCAAAAAAAATTAGAAAAAAAAAATTAAAAACCTATATAAGAATGTAAAAAATAATCTAATGAATGAACTTTTAAAGAGAAAACAATTAACAAGATAAAGGAAACAATATACTGGGAGTAAGTCTAAAACATAGGGATAAACACACACACATCTTCGATATAGGTAAGAAAAAGATCAACAACCACATAAAAAAATTAAGCATAGGACATACACAAACAGTTCACAAAAAAGAAATAATTAAAAAAATTTAAAGATATAAAACTATGCTCAAACTCATTTGTAGATAAGAAATTCTAATTAAAACTTCAATTGATTGACTAGGCAATGAGTAAAAGCTTGACAGCACCCTGTTGGCAAGGCTGTGGGGGAAACAGGCAGCCTCACACAATGTTATACTGAGATAAGTGGAGCCATGGTAGAGAGCAATGGTTTGGGAGCCATTTTGAATGCTGGGTTTGAATGCTGGATGTGTACATTCTGGCAAGTAATTTACCTTTCTATGCTCCAGTTTTATCATTTGTAAAAGATGGATTATAGTATAACTACCTCATAAGGTTGTTGAGAGGATTTAAAAATGTAATCCAGATAAAGCTTAGACAGCACCTGACAGACTTAGCACTCAATAAATATTCACTATTTGTATTACAACCAACATGCAAGGCATTTTGGCAATGGCTGTCAAATATTTTATGTGCACATTTCCTTCAACCCAGCCTTTACATGTCTAGACATTATGCAGAGAAAAGGAAAAGATCAGAGCATGGTTGAAGCCTTCAACTGGAAAATAAAAGTGTTTCCCGTTGGTACTCTACTTGGTTCAGACCATTCAATAAATCAGTAAAACATCTACAACTTGGCAAGGTCAACATCAATTGCCATTTAGAAGATAAGAAACAGAACCTCAGAGAATGTGTATTAATTATCTATTGATGTGTACAAAATTATGTCAAAATTTAGTAGGTAATTTATTATTCCTTATCTCTTCTGTGGGTCTTAGCTGAGTGATTCTGGCATGAGATCTTTTACGAGGCTGCAGCCAAGATGTTGGTTGAGGCAGCAGTTCTCACTGACATGGCTGTTGGCAGGAAGCCTCAATTCCTCCTCTCAACAGGCAGCTTGAGTGTCCTCAGACATGGTGGCTGTCTTCCTCAAGAGTGAGCAATTCAAGAGTGAGAGAGAGCCAGGAAGAAGTGATCCTTCTCATGACTCGGTCTTGTAAATCACCTAGCCTCACTTTTGCCATGTTTCCTTTGTCAGAAACCATCACAAAGTCTGCCTACATTCAAGAGGAGAGGCATTCGATTCCACCTTATAGAAGAGGAATGTGAAATACTTTGCAGGTACATTTTTAAACCACCACAGACGATACCTGTCCCAAGTTTACACAGTTGCTGAATGGCAAAGAAGGTGGTAACAAACAAGCTCTAAATCTCAAAGGCTTACAACAATAAATATTTATTTCTCACTCATGGATGTGCAGGTTGCTTTGCCTCCACTAAGCTTTCCTGGGCTCAACTGGGCTTGTTCCCAAGCTATAGCTTGGGTTCAGATCTGCCCTACTGGTTTTCTCATTCAGGGATGCATTCTAGAGGATCAGCATGACCGGGGGCAGTTTATTCCCCTGGTAGAGAGAAGAAACTGAAGGAGGCAAGTGGAAACATAATGCCTTGTAAAGTTTGCTCAGAACTAGCACACTGTCACTTCTGCTCACATGCCATTGACTAAAGTAGGTCACAAGACCAAGCTTAAAGTCAATGGGACATGGATACGCCTATTCCTACAGGAAGCAGGCAGGACACATGGCAAACACCTGGAAACACAATCCTGTTATTGTGGAGGGAGGGAGGGAGTGGTTATGACAATAATACAATTGACCACAACTACACTGGAAAACCAGAGGTTAGAGGAAATTGAGGCTTGATATAGTAAGAGAGTTTCTAGTGATGTGTTCTGCAGTTATTTGATGTTGAGCCTGATCACAGTCTGTGAAAACAAAAAAAAGCACTGCTACATTCATTCATTTATTCAACAAATATTTATTAAGCACCCACCATGTGGCAGGAAATATTTTAAGTGCTTGGGATACATCAATGAACAAGACACAAATACTCCTGCCTTTCTGGAGCTTATCTTTCTAGTTGAGGAAGTCAGACAATGAAGCTAATAAATAAGTAAATCAGAGAGTCTGTTAGAAGGTGATGAAATGATAACTTAAAAAACAGCGGGCTATAGGGAGGATGAGGAGTATTAGCTTGTGGTTTAGTATTAAACAAAGTAGTTGAAGTAAGCCTTATTGAAAGGATGGCGTTTGAGTGGAATTAAAAGAGGTAGGTGAGGAAGTTAGCTAACTGGATTATTCTAGGAAGAGGAAATAGCTAGAGCAGAGGCCTTAAGTGGGTGTTTGCTTGTGTGATCAGGAAACAAGGAGGCCAGTGTGGTTGGAGCTGGGTGAGTGAGGGGGGAGGGTGGGCGATGAGGTCAGAGAGGTAGTAGGGAATCAGATTGTGAAGAGCCTTTCTGATCTCTGTAAGGGCTTGGGCTGTTAATTTGGACAAAAATGGAAACCATTGCAGGGTGTTGAGGGGAAGAATGCTGTGTGTGATCTGACTTAGATGTTTAAATAATTGCTCTGAGTGATATGTTGAGAAGAGCCTAAAGGGAGGAGAGCAGAAGCACGGAGACTCATTTGCAGGCTATTGTAGTAACCTTGGGAGAGGAATAGTGGCTCAGCCAGGATGGCGGCATTGGAGGTGGTGAGAAATGATCAGCTGCTAAATCTGCTTCAAGAGTAGAGCCACACATGAAAACTTAGCATGGAAGAACAGAGAGTAGCTCTCAGCCTCTTCAAGGGCAGAGGCAATGTCTCAGTCATCTTTAACTCCTTAGTGTCTGAGCACAGGCATGACATAAACAGTCAGGTTTGCTGAATGAATGGTTGTGAAAAACCTGTTTAGAGGGCAGGCCCGATGGCATAGCACTTAGGTTCATCTGTTCCACTTCACTGGCCTGGGTTCACTGGTCCAGATCCTGGGTGTGGAGCTACACACTGCTCATCAAGCCATGCTGTGGCAGCATCCCACATAGAAGAACTAGAAGAACATACAGCTAGGATACACAACTATGTACTGGGGCTTTAGAGAGGGGATAAAAAGAAAGAGGAAGATTGGCAACAGGTTAGCTCAGGGCCAATCCTCCTCACCAAAAAAAAGCATACCTAAAAAACTTGTTTAGAAATAGGGAAAGAAGACTGTTACTTCTGGAAGTGGGAATGTACATGCTTTGGGTTCTAGCAGTAGGTGGCAAGGAATCTTGATTTAATAGTACAAAAGAACGAGTTGAATCAATCAATTTCCAGATTCATTCATTTAATAGGAACTCTGCTAGGTGCTGAGGATACATGGGCGAGCTGGTCATTTATCTCATGTCTCAGCCCTTCTATACCCTGTGCTGTTAGTGGGTCTGCAAGGCTACAGATTCCATTTCCCAGGCTCCTAATGCCAATGGGTAGAGCTGGCGGGAGAGCAGAAGGGAGAAAATGGTTAAGTTTCAATGCTTTAGCTAATAACTGAAGTACAGTTATTTTCTGACAGCATGGAAATCATGCAACACGTTATCTGTTTAAGAATTCACTCAGACGAAAGGAATAACCACATGGTTTATTATGTTTATACAAATGAGTTACATAAGGATTGTTCAGATTTTGAAAATCTTGAACAACCTTAAAAATTGGAATAAAAACAGGGATTCGCAAAGGTGTGCAGAGGATTTCACATGATGACCCAATTCCCATAAACAAAATACATGGAACAGGCAGGAATATATCATAGAGTTCAGCTATTAATTGGGAAAGGAGAGCAGGAAATCGTGATATGTTCACATTCCAAGGTCTTAGTTTGATGTAAGTAGAGAGGGATCGCTAATGCCAGAAACCAAGTGAGAAATGTGAGTAGATGCAGAAATGAAAGGCTATTTCGACAATACAAGTCATGTGTTAACAAAAAAGTCCACAGGAAAGTAGTCATCCTGAAATAGTTCCTTAGTAACAATTCCATTTGAAATGTACAAAATAGATGCTACGTATACAAAGCTAGCTAAGAAAAGTTTCCTTATTTGAATCTGTCAGACCCAATTTCAGCTGTTGTCAGGAAAGACAAAAGATAGACTAAAAACGGTTTAGAGAAAAGTAGATAATTGAGTTTACTTAGTTGTTAAAGTTCTCATTACGAATAACTGAGATGGAACCACACAGATGATTTGGGACATCGTTACAAGATAAGAAGATCAACACTGTCATGTAGTTACAGGACACTTTTTTAGATAGTCTTTATTATTAAACAATTTTCATTCCAATATATAGAGGTTTCAGCTAATAAAATGTTTAATCTCCATTTCTCTACCAATGTCAACATCTTCAGGTTATTTACAAAGCACTTCTTATTAGTATCAGCAGATCCTTCAACGCTGTGAGGTAAGCTGTCACTCCTACTATTTTTTTTTTTTTTTTCCCACTAAAGGAAAAGGCAGAGAAACAGAATCTTTTCCAGGGTTATACTGTTTACCAAAATTAAGAACACATCTAGGAGAACTATTCATCAAAACTCTTTTCATTGTAACTATTCATTCTACCCAAGTAGAAAAAAAATGCTATAACCAGCTACTTATTCACACAAAGGAAGAAAAAAGAAAATGGAGAATTTCTGCATTGCTTTTGGTTGGAGAATTGAAGTAGAATGGCTGACTAATCAACACTAAAACTCCTAAAAACAATTTTGAAAAACAGCGTTTTATTCCACTTCATATACTGCTTATATCTTTAAGCAGCTTATTTTACTGGACCTGATTTTATCTGAAAATAATATGTTTTTACTATCCTTTTAAATAGGCTAGAATTAAACTCATTTTATAATTCACTTATTTATAAACACACCTTTGTTTTATACAAAAGTGAAGTGTCTTATTATAAATAGACTATCTGCAAAATAATTTTTAAATTTGAAGTTACACCATACTTCCAGTTAGTTTCGCAGATAATATTTTGACAATAAAATGTCAGGGGCTCTCTGGTACTTAGTGAATAAAATTTAAACTCCTTGCTCTGGCACTGAAGGCCCCTATAAGGTATCCGCCTCTTCAAACTTGCCGTATTTACTAAATTTGACAAACTCTGTTAGTCTTTTCAGCTCTCAAACAGGTCACCTTGTCCGTGTAATAACAGCAGCACATAGCCAGAAGTAACTTTTCCCTCCTCAGAACATGCACAGCCTTCAGCTGACCACTCATGAGGCATTTACCATGGCTCTGCCTCATTTACGGGCAAGTGTTACCAACTTGGTTATAGCCTAAGCCCAAGTATGTACGTGCGTGTGCGTGTATGCTTTATCCCTTTCATTATCAGGCACTCCGAAGTATTTTTCTACAATATTTCCCTCCTCTAAGGAGAAGTCTTTCAGGCTCAGGAGTAGAGTGAAAGGAGGCACAGTGGTCCTTTTTCAATCTCAGTAAGTTATACGTGTATAATGCTTCTGGTTTGTAAAAGACTTTCACATGTATCTCTTCACATGACATAAGAAACAATTAAATACCAAAGAAAAATGAACAGCCTCTAAGATCAAGGCTACTAGCAAATATTTAGGAAAAATAAAGATAAGAAGAGAAAAGGAAATGGCTAGCTTTGTGAAAGTAACAAAAATAAGGTTAATTTAAAAGGAAATTTTAAAAAGCTAGAAAAGATTAACTGGAGAAAGTCTACAGGATTTTGGAAAGCTACAGAAGTTTTAAATTAGACTGCAAGGAGGGGATCATGAACGCAATGGAAGGTTGTAGGGAAGTGATAAAGGGAGAGCTCTATGGTTTGCAAAGTCCCTAGTCGGCTGTGGTACTTCAGAGCAGGAATCCAGAAAGGTATTTGGGAACAGAAGAGAACACTATGCTGGTGACTGAACAAAACATGGTTATGGATTCCATCAGAAGCAGAATCCATTCTCGGCACAGGCTGGTAAAGCTGGAAGCTGGTGAGATACACTTAGGCATCTAGGAAGAAGATAGCCTCTGAAGAACTCAGTAGAAGGTGATTTGGGTGAAAACAGGAGCTATCACAAAATTCTTATTGTGATTAACTCACAGCATAGAGCCTTGTCTTCTTATGTTGATACTTAGGATATTGTGGAATCATCTTGGTCAGATACTCAGGATTCCCAATGTATTTCTGAAAAGAAACATTTTTTTCCTACCGCCCATACTCAGGTTCCTATCCTCATTGGTTGCCTCTGACCCCATCTTCCTATTCCCAACCCATAGGGCAGTTTTGAAAACATGAATGATACTTGTTATAAATATTTGGTGTTAATCCTCTGATCTAGAGGAAGTTCAAGCTTAGTTGGCATAAGCCTTGACACACAGTTGACTCTAAGTTGGGAAAGAAAGATAAAGATGGTGTCTTGGCATTTGGTTAGGCCCAAGATAACTAAGAAACAAGCTGTTGAGCATCATAGAATTTATATCACAATTCATAATCATTTTGAGCTGACTTGATAAATTGATTTTTATTTACCTGAATGTGAAAGGTTTCCCCTTAAACGATAGCAAAATTAATGTGAACTAACGTGATTAATGTTGAGTAAAGAATGGAGTGGTAAGGATGGAGCAGTCTCAATGTCTTAATGATAAAGAAGCTGTTTAAGGCATTCTTACCATAAGTACTATGCTGGTGAAGAAATATGGACTCCTTCACCCAACTCTGACTATCTTATGTACTTGGCAATAAATACATTAGATTCACCAAGAATGTAGAACTCAGAGAATTAGACACAAACACAATGG